TGAGAGGAACTTGGGGGTCAGTATCTTGCCCAAGAATACTTTAGCATGCAGGCTGGACTAGCCAAGGATTCGAACCACCAACCTTGCAATTGGTGGATGACCTGCTCTACATCCTGAGCTTGCTCCCTGGTTACTCGGGCGAGAAGCAGGGTACACCCTGGACAGGATGCCAGAATTCGCAGGTTTAACACCACATGTAGCAGCCTAGCACTCTAACATGTTAGAAATGGTCTTCATCTGTAACATACATGTGGAATATATCTAACGCTCTCTACACAACCATTGCGGATTAACAAAGTTCTTACCTGGTACTTGCAGTGTCACTAATGTGATATCACGTTTTTTGCAGGCAGGATGTTGCGGCTTCGCTGTAAGACCAAAAACGGGAGCCACTTGATGCATGGCTTGACTCATCAGTCCTGCGTGCAGGAGCTGAAGCGCAAGGTGGAGGAGCTGACTGGTATCCCCTGTGATGTGCAGAAAATAATGGTTGGATACCCACCCTCCAGCCTTGATCTTCGGAACGGAGAGGCTCACCTCAAGGACTACCCTATCAAATCAGGTATGCTGGCAGGCATCCAACATGTGCAGAAAACATGGACCAAATTAAAAACTTTTAATTACATGCTCTAGTGCAGAGGTGTCAAACTCATTTTACATCACGGTCCACTTTGATCGTAAGCAGGCCAGACCAGTGAAACTGCTCCTTTCTGTCAATGTAAAGAAGTTACATATTTAAAGGTTTTTCTTGTTGAAATTTCTTTGGAAGTGCGATTTCGGGTGAATGTGGGGATCCATGCTCTGTATTTCTTTTTGCAGAATCAGTTTACCTGCTGTTTTAGCTGTTCAGTGGTTGTTGAGTTGTATGTTACTTTTCCTATGAATAGCCATAAGGGAGGTTTTTGATCAGTAGGAAAAGCTGTAAAATTTATGGAAATACAGTTAAAAGTCCAAAATGTATGCTTATGCTTGTTTGTGGTGAGCAGCAGATCAAACATATTAACAATTATAAATGGCTTCAAGTGCACATTCAGGCCTGTGAGGCTTTATATAGAGTTTATTTTATGTAATATTCCTCACTGTACTGTAAATTTAGTCTTTTTCAAGGAAGCAATTTTTCCTAAAAGCCTTATTTTTATGCATTTACTACTACTAGGGAGAAAACACACAAGCTTTAAGCCCTGGGCAAGTTTGAAACTTTTTGTCCTCCACAGTGGAAAATGACTGAAAATAAAAACGGGTATCACTTTAGGCTTCTCCGAATCGTATAAATCCTGCACTCAGCTTTGAAGTCTCCAATATCATTGAAATGTACCTGCACTGCTACACTTGCTGTCTTTGGAAGGTTTGCCCCCCTTCCTTATTTCACATAATGGTATGATCCCAGTCTGTCTTTGCATGTGATTGGCCGCATGGTGTGCCCATCAAAATAAAGTCCCACCCCTGCCTGCATGGATTCTCAGCAGGGTTGAAGATTCAACTCCCACATACCAAGGGGACTTTTAATAATTGACATATGAAATTATCTCACGGGCCGGATATAATTGTATTGTATGGAGGCTGCACATTTGGCACCCCAGGTATATACAAGAATTTATATACCTGTGAGGACAGGTTAAAATTTAAGTATGATTTTAGAATAAGCAGTCTTTATAACTTCAACTTTTAATTGCTTATAATAAAAGGAATGTTTTGTGGTGTGTTTGAATTCAGCCCACCTCTGCTGCTTTGTGATGTGATCAGAAATATTAGAAGCAGAACTTTTTGAGTTACTGAGTCTTTGATTTATTTGCATGCAATAGACATTTTAGGGACATCTGTGCAAAATAATCAGGTACCATTCAGACAGATATACATAAGGTAATGTGTTTCCTCTTCCTTTTCTAAACCAAAGTCTGACTGGGATGAAAAGTGTTGTCATTGGTGTGTCGTCCTCTACAGGAGACACACTCATCGTTGAGGAGGAAAAAAACAAGCCAAAGCCTCAGGATCGTCCCGCTGTGACGAAAGGACCTAACCTCGAAGGTTCACCTATGCTGGCACGCCGTGTGGTCCCAGCTGATAACTCCTGCCTCTTCACCAGTGTTTATTATGTGGTGGAAGGCGGCGTATACGACCCCACCTGCGCCCCTGAAATGAGAGGTCTCATTGCCCAGATAGTCTCGAGTGACCCCACAGCTTACTCTGAAGCGGTGCTGGGGAAAACCAATGAGGAGTACTGCACCTGGATAAGACGTGATGACACTTGGGGAGGAGCCATCGAGGTATCCATCATGTCTAAGTTCTACCAGTGTGAGATCTGCGTAGTGGATACTCAGACAGTGCGAGTAGACAGATTTGGGGAGGATGCTGGCTACCACAAACGCGTGTTGCTGATCTATGATGGCATCCACTACGACCCGCTGCAGAAAGAGATCCCCGGATCCGACACCCCGCCCCAGACTATCTTCTCGACTACAGACGACGTAATCCTGGCCCAGGCCCTCGAGCTGGCAGACGAGGCTCGCCGCAAGCGCCAGTTCACAGACGTTAACCGCTTTGCCTTGCGCTGCATGGTGTGTCAGACAGGCTTGGTGGGACAAAAGGAAGCTCGTGAGCATGCCAAGGAGACAGGCCACGCTAATTTTGGTGAAGTGTGAAAGTCTTGCTGTCTTTTTCCTCTCTCACAAATACAACAACCACCAACCCCCATGCCCTGCGTCTGGCAACTCTGTGGGTCTGTCTGCTTTTGTGATCCTCTACCTCACATTATCTGGCAACATCTTTGGAGATTCTGCAGGTACTGTGTTCCGCCTCTTACCTGTTCAGTATTACTTTTTAACTACTGTCAGTTCTTACAGTCAGAAATGCTACTGCAGTGCTCCAGTGTTAGAAACCATAATATTCAGATCTCTTTAAACTGGGTCAGGATGCA